GGGGGGTATTTTACCATGGAGAACTGCTCCTCCTCTCCTTCGGCCTCGCTGCCCTCCCGCGGCTCCATGGGCACGTTGTGGATCCTCACCAGCATCTTGGCGGCCGCGTTGCGCTTGGCCAGTTTCTTGGAGGTGCCACTGCCTGCGCCCCCAAAAGGGGGTGGAAAAGGGGGTAGGGGGGGACACAAGGGACACCCAGGTGAGCCCCTCGCCCTGCCCTGTGTCCCCCCCCGACCCCAGCAGCCTCTGGGGGGTCCGTACCGATCTCCACGAAGCGTTCCACCCGGCAGGTCATGGTGAACTCCTTGCGATGCGCCGGCCCCGACTCCTGCGTCACCGTGTACTCGGGCAGGCGCCAGCCCTTCTGCACCACCAGCTCCTGGAGGGGGGGGCAAAACTGGGGGGGTCCGGGCAGGGCAGGGGTATTCCCCCCTCCCCAATAGGGGAGTTACCCCCAAAAAGGAGCTGCCACCCTCAAAACGGGCACTGCCAGCACCCAAACGGGCAGGGAGAGCGCCAAAAGGGGTCCGGCTGCGCCCAAAATGAGGAGGGTTGTGCCCAAAATAGGGATAGTTGTTCTCAAAACGGGGGTAAGTGTCGCCAAAACAGGGAGGACTGAGCCCAAAATGGGTCCACTGTCCCCCAAATGGGGATTATCATCCCTGGAATGGGGATAACTGTCCCCAAAATGGAGATGAACGTCCCCAAAATGAGGATAATTGTCCCCAAAATGGGGATAATCATCCCTGGAATGGGGACAACTGTCCCCAAAAGGGAGATAAACATCCCCAGAATGGGAAAATTGTCCCCAAAATGGGATAACCGACCCCAAAATGCGGATAACTGCCCCCAAAATGGGGATAACTGTGCCCAAAATGGGGATAACCGTCACCAAAATTGGATAACAGACCCCAAAATGGGGATAACTGTGCTGGAAATTGTCAGGGATAATTGTCTCCAAAATGGGTCGATCACCCCTAAAACCAGGGTAACTGACCCCAAAACTGGGATAACTGACTCCAAAATGGCGATAACTGTCCCCAAAATGGGTCCACCATCCCCAGAATGGATAACCATCCCCAAAATGGGGATAAACATCCCCCAAATGGGAAAATTATTCCCAAAATGGGATAACTGACCCCAAAATGGGGATAAGTGTGACAGAAATGGGGATAATTGTCCCCAAAATAGGTTCACTGTCCCCAAAAATGTGGATAATCGTCCCTGAAATTGTGCCCAAAACGGGTCGATCACCCCTAAAACCCGGATAAGTGACCCCAAAATCGGGATAACTGACCCCAGAACTGGGATAACTGACCCCAAAACGGGGATAACCGTCCCCAAAATGGACAAGCCCCCCCCCCAGCTGTGGAGAAGCAGCCCCCAAGGTCACC